TATATTCGAATACTGTGGACATTTTGCCTCGGCTGAAGGATGTTCCACCAGGGACCTAAACCAGTGTAACAAGTGACATTATCGTATTACACAATTGATGTGTGGACTGACTGAGTGATCAAAAAGTCACCAGCACTTCTCTGTCCTCGTGTTCAGCTCTTGGTTAATGCCACTGGTGTTTCAGTGACATTAGTTTATTTTGGAAAATTACAGATGAAGTAAGAGTGGATCCTTCTAAAACGCCTGGTCATTTCCGCCTCATGACTGATTTCTAGTAGTTCCCACTTCCAGTCCAGCTGTGAGAGGCTAAACCTGCTCTGATTTGGATGGAAGACAGTATTTCACGGTACTAAAGGCAGCACAATTTTGAAAATATGATTTCAGGATGTGTCCGGCACAGACAGCAGAAGAGAATGCATTATTTTAATCCATCACTATCTGATGTCCCCAAGTACGGTACGTTCCGTAAGTAAGTTCAGTGGAATATCATTGTCGTAAACGTGTCCAGACTCAAAGCAGCCGTAAATATGATAAAAAGTAAACATGGTTCTGAGGACTGACAGCGCATTCAGCGTATTTTAATTTAGATAAAAGCTTCATACACAACAGCCTCTTCTGAGACTGTTGACAATAGAAACACAGAGGCTTTTCTCCAGGTGGTCTTTGGTCCCAGGCCACAGTTAATACTTTTTTTTTTTTTAAGTGAAAGAGATTCCATGCATTTCAATCTACTTTCTTTATTTTAAGATATTTTGTCAATTTTTCAAAATAATACATCTTTCAGGCTCCAATACACTAAAGCATGGCTGGGCAAATGTTTTGGCAAATACTAGGATCAGAATTTAACCGCTGGGCCTGTTCAGTATTTGGTCGTTGTAGAATGTTTGGGTGAAATAATAATATGAAATATATGAAATAATATGTACACACATATATATATATTTAATCTACGATAAGATTAAAACTAAATTAAATTTCCAAAGAAAAATTGGGACATTTGATGTCTGCTGCCATCTAGTGGCATTAACTGAAATGATAATCAATTAATTGCAATGAATGAAACTAATGAAAATGAAAATCAGTCTTTGGTTCAATATTAGGCAGACATAACAACAGGTGTTGTGATAGAGATAGCTAGCTAGCTCAGACGAAAATAATGCTAGCTCAGATGTTACTGATGCTAACTCGGGTGTGTGGACTGTTGATACAGTTAAAACTTTTTAAAAAAGCAGTGACTAAGTCAAGTGCTGAAGGGAGGAGTGAACCAAAGCACGGTCCACTGCCTGGTGATGGGGTCCACTGCTTTACAGCATATGTGTGGGAGTGTTCAACAGGTTCTTACACAGCCTAAAAAAATGCAGATTACCGATAAGGTTAATTATTCCCTCCAAATTTACCAAAGGAATGCCTGTGTATATGAATGGTTGTTATTCTTCACATGTGGCACTGGGATGAACTGGCGGTACCCCGCCCTAACCTAATGACTGCTGGGACTGACTCCTGGCAATCAACACTGTGACCCTGAAAGGCAGGGATGTCAAACTCATTTCCACTGAAGGCCACACCAACCGAATGGTTTAATTTCAGGCCTGTTAAAACTGCAATACATATAAAGGGCTCTAAGACAGACAGGTCTCCAACTCAAATGAACAAATGAGCTGCTGCCAAAGTGATTCCCTAAGAGGCCACATCAGTTATCAATGGCATCCATTTTGAAAAAGTCGCTATTTTGTAATCCTATAAATACTGCATAATACAACAATACAATTAATAAATGAACAAAACAACTTAAAAAAAGAAATGAAATTTTAAGAGTAAAATTAATCATTCATTTTTCATCCTCTGGTGTAGTAGAATTGGGGGTTATACGTCCATAAGTAACCCACAGGCCGTAGATGAATATTATTCTATACTACTCTGTGTTGAACTGCGAAGTGCTATTTAGAGGCAGGTTGTTTAGAATAAAATGTATTTTCATGAATACATACACTTTTTGGCACAATGAATACATCAAAACACATATTTTTAAATATTTGTAAATTACTCAAAACTACCAAAAGATTTGTCTCAAGGCCGATTAAAATGACTTTAGTTTGATGTATTAGACTGTAGAATTAATGATTAACGAATACTGAAAATATACTCTTACATTCCAGCTATGGGTTAGGTAAATTCTGCGACTTTTGCATGACGTAGTATGACCATTGGACCACTTGGATGCAGGGACCCACATGGACCCAGACCCCTGGAGATGATTGACAACGTGTGTGTGTGTGTGTGTGTGCACAAGGACCCAGAGGGCAGATTTAACACGTACCGCTGTGTCAGCAGGGCTGCCAGGCGGTGACACACACCTGAACAGTCAGCATGAATATTACATGGAGCTGTAATGTCCAGCAGCAGGAGAGAAGAAGGAGAAGGAGAAGAAGGTGAAGAAGGAGAAGAAGAAGAAGACGATGATGATGAAGAAGGAGAAGAAGATGATGATGATGAAGAAGAAGAAGAAGGTGAAGAAGAAGAAGAAGAAGAAGAAGGAGAAGATGATGATGATGATGAAGAGGGGGAAGAAGAAGAAGGAGAAGAAGAAGAAGAAGAAGAAGGAGAAGATGATGATGATGATGAAGAGGGGGAAGAAGAAGAAGGAGAAGAAGAAGAAGATGAAGAAGAAGAAGAAGAAGAAGAAAGAGAAGAAGAAGAAGGAGAAGAAGAAGAAGGAGGAGGAGAAGAAGGAGAAGAAGATGATGATGAAGAAGAAGGAGAAGAAGAAGAAGGAGGAGGAGAAGAAGGAGAAGAAGATGATGATGAAGAAGAAGGAGAAGAAGAAGAAGAAGAAGAAGGAGAAGAAGGAGAAGGAGAAGAAGATGATGATGAAGAAGAAGGAGAAGAAGAAGAAGATGATGATGAAAAAGAAGAAGTGTCCACGAGCTGCAGCTCTTCCCTCCACAGCCCACACACAGGTGGAAACGTCAAAACCAACATCTGAATCGAATCAACAGCAGCAGCTACAGTTCACTGATACTAAAGTGAGGATTATTTTTAAATTACTCTGTGTGCTGAAATTAAGACGACAACATAACATTATGGCGTAATTATCGACGCAGCCAATCACATTCAACAGGATGTCACTTTACATATCCGTTAGTTAGACCGCCAACTGTCAACAGGCTGACAACGGCTCTCAATTAAAGTTCGCCCAACAACGAATAACACATAAACACGGAAAATGAGGAAATGTGCCCATTGAAAAAAGAAGAAGTTCTTACCGCAGCTCTGTCGTTAGCTCTGTATTTACCGCCACACTGAGCTTCTTACCGCAGCTCTGTGGTTAGCTCTGTATTTACCGCCACACTGACTGGATTCAGCCGACCTCCCTCTGTCTCCACCTCTCTGTTACTCTCACTCTCTCTCTCTCTCTCTCTCTCTCTCTTATACACACAAATACCGTTGGAGGTGAGAATGAGACATTATCAGACATTTATCACAGTATCAGAGTCCACCCCCTCCCTTCTCTAGTTGGGTTTTATAGGATGCTTTAGCTCGCGTTTGTTTGAAAAGATAAACTATCAAACATTTACATCATATTTATTTATTTATTTTACAGTAATATTCTTTTTCAATTATTTCATTGTCGACAAGTAAAATGTTCTTTTTGTGTTCTCCTATTTAGTCATTGTTTTTTTCCTTTGCCTACTCTAGCAGCTACATAATTGAATTTTACAATATTGCACACACACCATTTGACATCACATCATTTGATCATTCCCAAATAAGCCCATAAAGTATAAACTGAAATGTTAGTGAATAAATTCCTCATGCAATTTAAAGCACTTGGGAAATACCATATATATATATATATATATATATATATATATTTCAAAAAGTATTTGTCTTGTCCAACGGCCATGGGCGTGTCTAGACATTCAAGGATCCCGCACACCAGCCTTTCTGACCATTGCTAGTGGAATGTGGTTCCCGTGGGGATCATCCAACCATAGCAGTCTGGACATTTTTCCCATTATAAATATTTCTGGTCAGCTAAGCCATTCTCTTATATTAGTACTTAGACAAATGGTTACACCACAAGTCTGTTTGTTCAGGCCTTAATTGAAGACAATCCAGTACTGTAATCTGCTCATAAGGGTCCAGGAATCAGAACTGTTCTGATCTCATTTCAACACATTGGAATTGGATGTGGAGGTTTTTTATGACTGATGTAGCAGAGACACATTTATTAGGACACACCCAGCAGGAGTCTGTGTCCCAACCAGAACAAGGTCCAAAACCCTCAAACTCTCCAAGATAAATCAGAGCTGGATGAGGTTTATGAAGGGTGGAGGTCGTTTGTATCATCAGATATTCAACTCATTTAATATTTATCTCCATGTGGAATCATCAAGCGTTCTTGTTAACCATTAAGCAGAAGAAAAATGATTCAAATCAAATTAAATATCGGACTATGGTGCAAAGATACCTTGGGTCTACAGTACTATTATACATTTTATAAACACCTATTACTTTATAAACAGCTTGTTTTTCCTTCACTCCATACGACGTTCACCAGACACCAGAATCTTACCGTCAACCACATGAAGGATCTTTGTGAACTTACCTAATCACCATTACAATATTGTTTATTCAGCATTGTTTGGACACAGCTTTACCAAAATGATGCCAGGTCATTCCTCAGAGCAGTGATCATCAACTGGGGGCCCACAGGCCAAATTCAGCCCACTGCCCCTTCCAATCTGGCCCGCATAAAATGGTGTTAAAAAATGGTGTCTGTCCAGAAAAATTCTGTGTTCTGACAAATATAGTTGGTGATTCCTGCCCTACAGTACATGTGCTGTAATTACTCCTTAAAACAACAACTGCTCCATGCATTTATACTCAACATACCAGTACTATTCCATACTATCATCACAACTGATTTTTAGGTTAATGAAAGGAGACAGTAACTGTAGCTGCCACATGAATTGAAGCCAAGGAAATGTGTTCAACAGAATTTTATTAGAAAAAAAAAGCATCTGTGCTAAAAATCTGCCTCTTTCCACACATTAGCAGTTATTCCAGTTACAGATGGAAACATCTGTGACGTAAGCTCCGTTTCACCTTCTGCTTTCACATCCGCCATGTGATGCTGTGATGGACTTACAGCTCGTTTTTTCCAGTTTCTCTAAAATCTGTGCCACATTGCAACGGGAAACCCAGAAAGATGACAGGTAGACATTAAACACAGGTGCAGAGAGAAGAAAACAGACGAGTAACAAACGGATACACAGACACACTTCCACAGACCCAACAACGAATATTGTGAGCAACAATGACATGTGGGTCATTGGAAAACACACACAGACACACACACAGATCTTTACATAGTAATGATTGCTGACAGACCTCTACGTCTGATAACGAAAGCCACAAACTTTCTCTGTCGTCACTAAAAACCTCTAGGGTGTGAAAACTGTGCAACTGTCGAACAGTTTCAGGAATCGTCAGTCAATTACAAGAAGTTCTTTTGGTATAAACAAGCAGTTTAAAATTTACAAAAATGTAAAAAAAAAAAGTTAGACCATGATGTACAAATGTTGCAGGTAAAATAAATTAACTTGAGCTTTTATCATTCTTTCTCTCTCCCTTCATTCTTGTGGCGCCTTCAGAATTGTTTAAAAATGTCTAACGAAGTAAGAACAAGACAAGCAGCAGAGTTTCAAAGTGTAATCATCTTTTTTTTTTCCTTTTTACATCACTCTCCATCTATTAAAGGAAACCTCCACACATTCCTCCTCTCTAATTTAACCACACACACACACACAACTGTGATGGAGCAGCACTTTCTTTGACCTGTGTGGATAAAAACATGGCTGGAAACGTTGTGGATAAACGTGACTCTTTACCCTGGGTATTGTCAGCAGGTAAATGGCACTTTGTGATGTTGTTGTCTGCTTTGAAATTACAATTTGAGATTTGAGAAAGTGGCAGGAATGGAAAATATGCACCATTATATAACACATACACAGTATGTTAGGAAAACACTAGAACCAAACGAAGGTTTGCTGGTTGATCCCAAGAGTTGTACAGTACGACACTTACAGTATTCTTTTTTTTTTTTAACTGTGGGATTTTCATCCTATTAAACTTTTAAAATGTTTTCAAAACATTAAATTCAGTTTTTTAATTTTTTGATTAAAAAAAACTAAGCATGATCCAAAACTGAATGAAATATGAATTAAATAAGAATTCCCAACATTCTTTAGCTCAACGGTGACCACGAGTGGCACGAGTATTGTTTAAATCACTGATTCTTAACCATAGGGCCGTGGCCCAAACTTGGGCCGCCAGCACCACCTACAAGGCCACAAAAAGCTGTCAGTTCTGCACCCGGGGCCACAGGACTGCATATGTTATCAACTGTAGACACCAGAGGTGTGTTCTCCATGAGAAGATTAGTTACGATACAACTTTGACCATGTGGTGGCAGTGTTGCATCACATAAAACAAGTTTTACACCTAATCTGACATATTCGCCCACACACGGCTCTCGACAGAACAGCTCATGTCGTTGCGGTAATTACTGTCATCTGAGGGCAGATCATCACAGAGTGCAATACTACAAGTAAACACAAACACAGACTGGGTCTCATTTAGACGGTTGCAGCAAAAATGTGTCTCAGAACAACGTATCCCAGAATCCACTATGGACACCACGTATGGTCTTGATCTACGAAAGAAATTCCAGCATAGTTTTACCCAGAAATGGGGTGTAGCCCTTGTAGACAGCATGTGCATTAGGCACCATGGGCTACAGTCCATGAATCCAGACCAGGCTACGACATCTGCTATAAGACAAAGACCAATGTTAATAGTTGACATCAAACTAAAAGTCTTTTTTTTTGTTTGTTTTGTTTCTCATCAAACTCTCGATCGCTGGTGGAGTTTATTTACTGCCTCGACATCTCCAGAGGACCGGCTCCCAACGAGTCTCAACACGCCCCTCTACAACCGTGTGCAGTGACTAAACTATTGTGCAGCAGTTTATCAGTGGTTCTCCCAGCAGTGTGTGTGTGTGTGTGTCTCCCAGTCTCCTCCGGGACGCTGTCTCTCTACATATTTTATATACAGTATTTGTGTGTGTTTTTAAACTAACGTAGCCACATCATTGTTTCCAGTAAAGTGTCAGAGTGTTGCATGCTGGGACTGAATCTAAAGATGGAGAAAGGAAGGCTATAATTTTACTGGGAGTTTGGCCTCCACCTCTGTTGTTGATACGTCCATCCCTCCGTCTCTCCATCGGTTCCTTCATCGGTGTCCGTGCCAACGTCCCTCTCCATTCTCTTTTCATTTCTACATCCTGTTCTCCCCCATTTGCTACACCTCCCTGTGCTCAACCCCTCCCTCTCTCCCTCTCTCCTCTCCAGTCCAGTTTTCCAGTGTGTCTTTGCAGCATGGGAGAGGATGTGGACAGAAAAGGAGGAGAGTCTGGTACATTCTGGACATCATGTCTGTCACACTGTGACGGGCCTACAGTCCCACAGCCCAGTAAACATTGTTGGACAGTTTATACTCAGCACTGACTGAGTTACAGACAAAGAGCTGTGGTCCACACCTGGGATCTAAGTGTTACTCAGTGTTACAGCAGCTATCTTAATTTAATAGACAAAAGACACATCTTCTGGTCAAAATGTTTCATCGTTCATTCAGCCACGTAGCTCCTTTGGTCACATGATGGCAGTGGAAAAATCCTGGAGAATCCCAGCATTCTTGTCAGCTTTAGTGTCAAATCCCAGGTGTTCTGTGACTCCTGTGAGGACCACCTCTACAGAGGTTCAGCTTGTGACAAAAACTTGTCCCAGAAGAATGTCCTTGAACAGCTGGACTGACTTGATCATGAACCCAAACTGAAGTCCTTCAAACTGACAAGACCAGAAATGGGATCAAGTCACATCCCTAAGAATTCTGTAGTTTCTTCTTCATCATTTTTTCCTCAGCACAAAGACCAGAGTTCAGACCACACCGTCTCTTTAGACACATCCATACTCATACCACACTGTCTGGGGGTCATTGTTGGGGTCGGGGGATGCTGGTGTGCTTTTCTGGCGTTCAACAGAACTGGATCTCGCTCTGTCACTTTCTTTACTTGCGTGGACAGGTTCTCCCAACTGTGCGTCCGTAGACGTCTCCCCGTGGTCAGGGGATTCACTGGTCTGTGCAGCGGACACAGCCCTGACTGGGGTCACCATGGCCACTTCTCCACGGTGATGGTACGAGGAAAAGGAGGAGGACGGTCCGTTCTGTGATACGGGAGCTCGGCCTCTCTCCCGATCTCGATCCGTGTGTCGGTCCGAAGGTAAGTTGAGAGAGGACGAGTGGTGCGTGGTTTGGTGTAGGAAGCTGTCGTCACCGAGCTGAGTGTTCGGACCGGCCAAACGGGCCGACAGCGGCCTCTCTC